AGAGTAAAAGTGCCTGATTGATTGGTCATTGTCTTTTCGGACGTTTTCGTGACCTTCGGCAAAAGCCGCAATTACTCCACCAGCACTGACGAGAGAGGGTGTAACAAAGGAATCCAACTTCATTTCTGGAGAAGTCCCCCCTTTCGGCCGCACCAGCATCGTCTGCGGCACAAATAGATCGACTCCCTGCAGCTTATGAATATTTATTAAATCACTCTTCCCATTATTCCCTCCAGCGGCCGCGGCTCCACAGGTGCCGCAGCACATCATCACGACGAGGAGCAGCACCGCGGAAGTAAACACATGCCGGGACATGTTGGGTCTCTGCGGCTCACTCCCTCTCCCTTCCCTCCTCCTTCCGCTGGATCCGGTCACGCGGCGACGGTTGTGTTTGTTGGGTGCCATGACTGCAGCAACACGTGAGATCATGTAAGTAGGTGTGGGTGGGCGGTGTGTGTGCTGTTGGTGCTTTCAGAGCCTTCGAATCTCACAGTAGCGTTTCGCGTTTGTTTGCTTTCCTTCCTAGCGTGTGTCTGTGTTCAACATGTGGAAAAAGAAAAAAGCGGCAATACATCAGACACGTCCGTGGGGAGCAGAGCAGAGCACCCATGCGGAGAGCGGGACACAAGAGAATCCGGAAGGAACAGCGCGGAGCACCATCGCCCACACACACACACACACGCACACAAATCGCAGTGCTGCCAGACCGCGCGTGGAAGAATTCGGTCCTCCACACAAAAAACGCGCACACCGCCCGCATTCACCCACAATGGGCGAGGAAAAGAGACACACCGCCGCCGCCTCCAGTTCAGTCTCGCGGCCAACGGGATACGGCCACAGCCCCGCAGCCAACACACAACGCACAGCGAGCGAACAATCACCCACTCCAGTTACACGTGGAAACGGATCCTTATCCATCCATGACGCGGTGCCCCACTCCGTACGGTTGCACGGGGTGCACCATTTCATCAATACAACTTATTATTTGTTCATCCCTTAAATATGCTTCTGTTATTGGTGGGTCTTGGAACACGATAGAATAAAATGGAAAGTGCAGCAACACCATAGCACCGCCAGCCACAATGGTTTTCTCATACCGGGGCAATTCCACGATTATGCCTCTTATGCACACACAATTAACATGCTGTGTGAAAATCACCCAATGTTCCTTACCAGAAAACAAACAACCCCACTCCCTCCCTAATTTCTTCGGTCACTTTTATGTTCGATAGAGCTGGGCATTTTTGGAATCTGTGTGGTATACTGCCGTCTGGTGCGGGTGCACCCGCACCGTAGCCACACAAGTATCCAAAAATAAATCCCACAATATTTTTTTTTACCAGAAATCAAAACTACCCCTTTCATTCCCTAATTCGTTCTC